TGGTCTTAAGACCAAGACCAACTTCGAGTACCACAACACTGGGATATGTATATATATAAAATACAGTTGACGCACCGGGCTCACACCGTGCCACCTTACGTTGGTCTCGCGCGCTGTTGCAGCTTCTCGTGCTGCTCTGAATTTCTGTAACCCGTCGCGTTCACACGAACTGGCGGATCTGGAAGTTGTTCTTGCGGAGCAGCTCCCTTTGCGCTGATATTCATGAGAATACAGCTCCAGCGTAGCATTAACTGTAACCACCATGCCGTTCTTTTGGCTCTCGCACTCAACCCGAACTTTCAAAACTCGGCCTTCATTCGCCCGTTTACCTGAAACTCCCGCTGCCGCCATGTTGTTAGCTCCGCGCCGTATCCGGCAGAACGTTTTCATGTTGGGGGGGCTAGTGATGGCCAAATGAAGCCTCCTGAAGCAGTGAAGCTTCCCAGCCCTTTTCTTTGCCCAAAGGCTCATCACTCGATGCTCCATTCGTTTCTCACTAGTGACATCTGCTTCTGAAACTGTGGCAGCCTTGTCACTCAGTTAGACTTGCATAGTAAATGCAATATTGTCACAAAGTTTTTGTCAAAGTCATGTTTAGTAACAGCAGAGTCAATTAAATCCTATTTAATTGTAATCTTTTTTAGTTATTAAAATGATTTGTAGCCAATTCTGGTACATACTGATTGTCAGTGGCGGTTTTCTTTTGTCATTGGCTGATTTGACAATAGACATTTGTTTTAGTGTTTTTGGAGTGCAGAGTGCTTGTTGGGGCAGACAGTATTCTTTGAGTTTTGATTTGCCTCCTGAAAAACTAAAATTTGTCAAAAATTCTCTTTTTCTTGGATTTCTATTGGCTCTCTGATCTGATCCCTTATATTTTTACCCATCAGGCCATAATTTTACTCTTCCAACAGCTTTAAGTGTTTCTGCTGTTCAAGACTGATATATCTTTGCTGATCAAAATAATAGTGGAAATTTCCAGAAGGTGAGAATTTTGGAAGTGAAGGGGTTAATTATTTTTATTTAAGATTATTGTGAGCAATCATCTCAAAACATTCCCAGATGTCAGATTTCCTTTCCTCTTCCTGGCTCCATTTCAATGAAGTTTGTTTGTGGAGCACATTTCAGCAGCAGTGCTGTTCAAAGTGCTTTACATCCTAAAATTACAAAAATATAAAGTCATAAAAACACCATCATCAACAATGTAACAAACATAACATTTTGGTGAGTGCCATCATCAAAATCATTAATACTCATTAATATGTTGGTCGATGTTCCTTTTCATTGCAGCCGCTGCTAAAGACATACTCTCCTTTGACCAAATACAACCCATGAAGCAGCACAGCTCAAGCTTTTATTTTGAAAACCAACACGCAAAATGAAGCAGTCAGTGACCCATGCAGTGCTTCTCAAGCCTGACTGCAGATGTCCCACCACTAGGGGGGGCTAGTGATGCATTCATAGCCTGTCTGATAAACAACACTTGCAGTGAATTAGACGCCAAAAGCTTATTATTTAAAGGATACTTGATGGTTGCGTGAGACTGAGCCTCTTTAACCACGGTGAATTGAAAAACGATGGCTGGCCGATGTATGGAGTATTCTGGATACATCGCCCAGCCCTACTCAATCGTTTTTTTCCACTAGGCCAATGAATCTATTGCTGCCCTGTGTGAGCTTTCGGACTTGGAGAAGAACATGGCCGACAGCTCATCGTCCTTACTTCCTGAAATGCTGACGCCGCCGCCAGAGGAGTTGGCTCCAGCCACGCCTTCAGAAACCCAGATTTCCAAAGCAGAACCGCCATCGACCCAAAAGCTTCCAGTGCTTTCCATCGACTCCTTAACTCCGCCCCCTGAAGCTGAGCCCTCCCTGTCAGACGGCCTAGTCAAAGGCAACAGTAATGTTTCTGCTTTTATGCATTTATTTATGAAATGATGTTTCATTGAACTCTTTATGCAGTATTCCTTTTAAGGAGGCAGTACGTAACTTTTTAAAAAAAATTCTGTTTTTGTTGAAAGTGTCACCATGCATCTGTTTAATATGACAGATAATCTGTGAGCAGGTCAACCTCCTCTCTGTCAACCTTCATTTCTTCCAAGAAATGAACCAAAAACAACCAATCAGAGCCAGGAAGCAGGACTTAGCGCTGTGAATCATCCCCATGTACTCATTGCTAAATGTGCTATTGGAGGAGGAACAGCTTACAGGAAAACTGTTTATCTGCTGTTAGCATGGCTATGCTAACTGGCCATAACACTACAGGCTATGCTATCTAGCAGAAAGCAGTACCAAACAAGTTTGTGATGAATTGCACTAAGCCCCGCCTTCTGGCTCTGATTGGTTGTTTCTCGTTAGCACTGGGAGAAGGAAGAGATCGATCTTTTGCCAAACTGTCACAACATGGAGACAGTTTGAACAAATATCTAAGAAATGTTTTTCTTAAAGTTACAAACTGCAGCTTTACGGTCCAGGATTTGATCTAAGTTGAGGTTTTGCTGGCGGCCGGGTTATTTCAACCTTTTCCTGCTAACATGATGTCGACTTATTTGATCTTTAAATCCAGTTAGTTTCAACATTTTATTTCTAAAAGCTTTTATTTTTATGGCATATTGTTTGTTGTATTAGCAGAATAAATGTGAAGATTATGCAGTGCGTCGGGGTTCCTGAATCACGCTGAATGTAAAAGAAATGAAGCTGCTGCTGCTTTTTGTTTGGCCTCCAGGATCCGGTCCTGGTTCTGCTCGGCAGATTCAGTCAGAAGGTTTTTTGGTTTCTGATGATTTCTGTGTTTGATTGGCAGAAGTTTCTCCTGTGCTTGAAAAGAAGCGGAAGAGGAAACCCACGCAGAAGATCCTGGAGTATTGCCTGGAGGCCGAGGCGTCCGCCGCCCCGAAGAAGAAGGTAGAAAACCTTCTAGACATAAACATCACAGGAATAAACCATGCCTTGATCAGAACCACCTTTCACTTGTAGTGAGTCCAGAAATGGGAAATTACTCCATATGAACATACCAACTTATGTGAGATTTCTGCTGATTAGAATAAATTTTTATGTTGTTTTTGTTTTTTGCTTTTCTGTAGCCAGTTTAATCATGAAAGTGAATTCAAGGTCAGATTGTTCCAAAAGACATAAAACATTTTTTTCTGTTTTAAATTTTGCTTCCCAAGTGGAACCAGGTTATCATGAAATGAATAAAATATTAATGGTAAATGTAAAGTAGCTGTTTGACCAAAACATTTGAATTTTATCGCTGAATTAGAGAACTTTATCTGAGAGGAAAAACAAAAGTCAATTTTTTGTTTCCCTTGAATTATGATCAATGATTTCAGATAAAATACCAATATTGATATTTCCACTTTCTGACCTGTTGCGTGAACATGCATGCTGCTTCTTTTGACTCTTTCTAATATTTATATATTCATATTTAATGTGAAAGTCCAGTTTCATGTTTATGTTTCATTCCAGATTAAAACACTGAAGATGAATTCAAATGCTGGACCTCAGTCAGGTTCGTACGACTCCAGTTATCTAGAAAATCCTCTAGAATCTACTAACGGTGCCCAAAGTGGAGGATCAGTTAAAACAGGGTTTAAACCAGGGGTGGAAATTAGCACCGCAACTGGCCAAATACGGGTAAAAGTCTGAAGTGGCGTGTAACTGGAGCAACGCATCTGCCACCGTGGCAGGTTGACAGTTTGAATAGGAATAAAAAGAGCTGCATTTGGTTTGAACTCCTGTCCAGCGGAGGGTTAGGGGACTGGACTACAGACTGATGCTCATATTGTATATGGGACGGACCGAGGCTATCATCATTTAAAAATTTACCAAATATAATTTTTATCGACTGCAACAGCCCATTGGTTGATTTCATTAACGGACAATGGGCTTAACCAATGAAATCCCTCAGTGCTCCGTGGCACACCCCTCCCCTAAGGTTATAGCGCCATTTCAGGTAACCAGAGTCCCAGAAAAGTGATCGGATACGAAAGCTAAAGCTAAAAAGCACGAAAGCCCATTCAGAGAAATGTGTCAAACTAACTGATATACTAATTACCACACAGTAACGTCACAGAGGGGATTATAACTACAGTAAAGGCAGGGATGGAGAAAAGCTAGCATGAGAGGGGGGGTATAAAATACAGGGGTAAAATACAGGGGTAGAATACAGGGGGTAAAATA